TGATGTATTAAACTTAGAATTTTTTTCCCTTTCATCCAATAATACTAGTACAATCTCAGTAGTAATAGTATGCAGTTAAATAAAGTGCTTTGATTACAAAGTTACAGAGTCACAGAATGGTTCAGGTTGGAAGGGATCACAGAGGTTTACCTGGTCCAATCTCCCAGCTCAAGCAGGGCCATCCCAGAGCACATGGCTCAGGATGATGTGCAGATGGCTGTGGAATATCTCCAGTGAGAGAAACTCCACAACATCTTTGGACAATGTGTTCCAGTGCTTGGTGAAAGAAGTTCTTCCTCTTATTCAAGCACAACTTTTTGTGCTTCATTTCTGCCCATGGTGTTATTGCTAGGCACCACTGGGAAGAGTGATTAACACTAACAACTAAAAAAACCCGACATCCACATTTGCTTTAGAAGTAGAGAACAAAAAATATGCACATTTTTCTCACATACTGCATTCTGTCTGAACCTGAGCAGCTGTTTTTCTCTAGGATGGAGTGATACAGGCCTGAATATGTGAACTAATCATTCTCTAGTCCACCATTGTCTCAGGGGGAAAAGATGGTATTAGGCTAAGGAGGGTAGAAATCAAAGGACCCTATCTCTCATGGCAAACAAGTGGATTCAATAAACCACCAAAAATAACCTTTAAGCTTTACCTTCGTAACTTTGAGAGCACAAATTATCCATGGTTCCATAGATCTTCCATTTATCCATTGCCTCTGATCCTGTTTTCAGTGCAATATTTTCTTTTTTTTTGCCAGCACTGAGAAATAAATCTTCCCCTTGGATTGCCAAGGCTGTATTTCTGCATTCCCATTTCTGGAATTCACTTTTCTTGTTGCATGGGTACAGAGAAATTTTAGCCTGGTTTCTCTTGTTGGGCACTCCCAAGCATTGTGCAAATGCCATGCTCATTAGCAGATGATCAGAGACCCACCTGAATTTTTGTAAGTCACTATTTTTCTTGCAAGCAGCTGTTGTAACTGCCTCAGAACTCTGAGCAATTAAACAGAACTTAGTATCCTCATTGAATATTAAGAATACTTCCTTGTCTGTAAAACAAAACATTCAGAATAACTGGTTAGGGTGAGCACATGGTAAGGGGAGCTTGTGAGGAGAAATATGTGCTGTTTATTCTATGCTGAAGAATAGAATAGAATAAACTCATGTCAGGAGGCTGCAAATTTTTACAAGGATCAAATGGTATTTTCAAGACACATTTCATTCTGGGAAGGAAAAGTAAATTCACTAAATACATGGGAATAAAATACAGAGGAATAAGAGCACATAAAACTACATTAAGACAGCTTCAAATATGTTTTCATAATAATCTTCTTCTGAAATGCACATTTCATTCAAGAATTCCAAAAGAGACCTTTACTGAAAATTTGGAAGTTGGCCATCACTTTCATGCATTATAGATTTAGCTCCTGTGATGTACATCTGCATGGGGTTGCATTTGTGCTTAATAGAGTTAGTGAGCAAGCCTTCTGTGACACTTGCTCCTGGAATTTACATGTTCTGTTATGGTTTGGAGATTTTTTTTTTTTAATTAAAAACTATGTAGTGGTGACTTGTTACCTTTCCTTGATCTGGCATCCTTTCCTTAGCACATCTACCATTAGAAGTCAACATAATTCATACAATCAATCACAAGCATTGTCACCAGAATAAATACTGAAGAGCATGTGGATACTACAGGTGTGGGCCTGCATGCCTGTGCATTGTGAGTGCCACACAAGAGAGTTACCCTCCCAAAGGGTCACAGGCAGCCTGCTGCTCGAATCCATTGAGATCAGTAAACCCTGCTGGGAAGGGCTCTCCCAAACTGCTGCTCTGCTTTAACACGCAAAGCAACTCCTCCTGGGCAGACAGCTGCATGCTCTTAAAAACATCAGGTAGCATGCAGCTCTCACTGGCTGTGGGTCATGAGAGATTGAAATTTGGACTACAAGGAATATTCTAGGACCTATAGAACAGGAGGGGAAGGTTTTGCCCTTCAGGTCTCTGTGCCTCAAATTCACACCTGGAAACAGATGCAGCATCACTGCCATATCCATCTGAGAGAATAGCTCACAAGAGGCAGTGAGATTCCCCTCAACACACTTAAGTAAAATTTTAGAATATTAGGGCAAGCCAATGTTGGGTAGTGAACAGAGGAGAAAGTCTCTGGGAAATTCTGGGAGGGTATGACAGAAAGAATAGTTCTTGAGCTCTTCCAGAAGGTCCCTGTATTACTTTGACCAGCTCAGTAATATAGGAGTACCACTTCTGCAAATCTAAATTTGGAGCTGAGACTTAGTTTCTTCTTTCCTTGTCCATTTAGGCAAAAAGTTTTAAACGTTATAAAGTCTTTAATTTCTTACTGCTCAGTAAATAAGTGCTTAGTGTAGTCCCATAAGTACCAGCTATTGTCCCTCACAGAATTTTTTGATCTAATAGTAGGAGTTCTTGATGGAAACTGTGAGGTTTCTGCTTTTGGGTTGGGTTCCCAGCTCACAGAACAGGTGGGAGACCCCCTTTTTGCACAGGGTAGTGCTGTCACAGCTCACATGGAACAGTGCCTGCTTTTGGAGGCTGTGATATGTACCCCGCTCCACAAATCTCATGAACTGAAGGATAAAGTAAACACATCCTTGAAAATTATCATCCTACTTAAAAAGGGAGCTGTGATCTGTCTTTGGCCAACTTCAGAGATTTAAGTATCCCTCTCATCTTTATTCTTACTGCTGTAGTAGTTATTCCACAGCTGTTCTTGACTCTCAAATATTTCTAATTTTTTTCACTCGCTTCTTCTCAGCCACAGAATTGCTACACCTTACATCAATCCACAAGTTCCACCTCACCCCACACAATCTCATGCCAAGGCTAGGAGATACACATGCAACACCCTATTTAATTACTTTATCCTTTTAATTTTTTTGTTAGTCAGTCACACATTATATGACATAGACTATGGAGCACACTGTGAAGTCCATCTACTTTATAGTAGCAAACATAACCAATAAATAAGTTGTACCCAAAAGGCAATCTTTATTTACATATGTGATTCAGTCCAGATTTCTGATTCTCAGCTTTACCCCATTTTGATATTCCCTTCTCTTTAAAAGTAAATAAACATCTCTGTATCTGTTTTGTGGAAATTTCTGTGGACCACTCCCATTAGCAGAAATATGAAATATAGAGTAGTAAATCTATGTGAAAATCCTAAAGATCCAGAGAAACCAGCAAGACAACAAATATGCCCACTTTCACATCCACTTTTGCAGGGGACAGTGAAAAACAGACTCACCGAGTGTCTGAAAAGCAGTATGAACAAATGAGAGGAAAACTAAAACTGTAGAAAAGGTCAAGTTTTTCATTCTGTCTTCTTATTCACAAGGAGATGAGATGAAATTAATTGCTGCAGTAGAGGTCCTTAAAGAATCAGTTGGTGCTGGCTCCTTCTTGGTTCTGGAGATTTTTAGTTGAAAGAGAAAACTCTGGGCTCTAAATAAGGAAATATCCTGTCACATGTGGTATTTTGAAATCTAGAAATAATTACAAAATTCAAACTTAGCATCTGAAAGTGAAATTTCCATCCATTCAAAGTCAAGTGTCAAAGTTTGAACAGTTCAAGATCATTCTACTGAATTGTTTTTAAATTTCTTGGTTCTGTGCTGGAATTGTAACTTTCCCTCAAAGTAGCTGTAAGTGACCCTCAAAGACAAAGAAGCAGGGAGTGCACTTTAAATGTCAGACATATTCCTAAGAAACTCAGAGAAAAATATATGCTAATTTCTTAGCGAGAAAGATCTTCACTGCTGCAAAAGATATGTTGATTTAATTTATTGCAGTGAGCAATATTGACTATTTCAGTATGAAAAATTAACCCCCACAGGACAATTGAGTTTTGCTCAGTGACTTACAAAATGCATACACCTGCCTTTTATCCGTCCTGTGTATCAACTAGTAGAACTAGTGTGCTGTCATTTCATGTGAATTTATCTTAGAAGAACCAGTACAAATTAGCCAAATCTTTACAAATCTTTCTGTGATTTTGAAAAAAAGCTGCCTTTCAAATTTTTTTAATTCATAAAGTAGAAACAAACTTAAGTAATTTATTCTTTCTTTGTATCAAGCATAAATGAGACTAGAATAGAGAAATAGTTTCAAATTTTACAAGTCATCTTCAGTCATTTATTAAATGGGAATGAACTACAGGTATGATTTACAACCCCCTTTGTAATTTTGAAATAAAGGGAGGAAAGAAATTCAGCTGAAATTGCCCTTCAAATTTTTCTCTCATTTTTCCTGGCTTTATTATGAAGACAAATCTAACAGGTTTTTCCAGAAGAGTAAAGCATCACTTAATAAGATAGAAGAAACTCATTCCCACAATACAGAGTCTTTGGAGTTGTGTTGTCAATATAAAATATAAAACATTTAAACATATTATGTTGGATTTTTTATCTGTTTAGTCTTTTCATTTACTTCGCCTTAATCAGTCGCCATCAAACAGTACAGAATTCAGTTCAGTATTTACAAAAAAAAAAAGTGTATTTTTTGTAACTTACATGAAGGGAAGAAAAGAAGTTGAAAGATCAAGAGGACTGTCATTAAAAGTAGTTTGAGTACAAAATGGTCTTTATTACTTATCTCTTGCAATATCTTTTGTTTAATTGCCCTATCTATAAATTGTCAATCTAATGTCATGTAACATCTCCTCTGCAGTTCTTATGCAATTTCTAAAGGTTTGTAATTCACAGAGATCCTTGAGATCTTTTTCTCTTCAGAATATCATAGACAACAGAGAATTCCTAGAAAACTTAAACATCTGAGTAAACTTTTAGAACATTTCACTAGCAAGGCACTGTTTTGTGCCCCACTCTTTTCCTGGCCTGAATAATGGATACAGTTATCAGTCCATTTATCAGAGAGGTGGAGGATAGTAAGCAAAACTATCCCAAAATGAGTGATCAAGTAGAAAAAAAACAGGAATGCATTCTTTCAAAATTTACTTGGCAACTACTTTATTTTATACTTTATTTATGGCTTTTTAGTCATATGCCACGTTCACATTTCTGTGTCTCCTCCTGTCAGCCTCTTTTTTAAGGAAGAGGACTCATTAAATCAACAAACCACGTATCATCTCCACAAGCTAATTAAGCAAATTGAAATAACTGAAATGTTATTATGTAATATATAGTTTGTTTATTCATATAGTCTCATGTTCATAATTGATGAAAAACATTCAAAGTCATAGAGTAAGGCTGTATGTAAAGACATATTTGTTTCGCAAAATTCAAGTTGAAGCCATGAATGAAGGACAAGTATTTGCATTTCATTTATACTATCACAAAGAAGATATTTGTGTTAAGGGTATAAGACAAGGGCATCAATGGGGACAAACAATTAATGTAAATCTCTGTTTATTCCAAACATCACTTAAGTAACAGTGTGGAGGCTTCAGAACAGTATGGTGAGATACTCTCAAAGTGCAGGCATTAAGGTTGAGCACTCTGCAAAGAGTGCTCAGTGTTAGTCTTGACTGTATGTGATGCTGTCACAAATTCCTAAATAAGCAGCCCATAATTTTTAAATCTAAATTCCCACTAGTTCTGTTATTTTCTTTGCTTGCATAATTAGCAATTTTGTACAGTACTAAGTCAATAAATACTTGAGAGTATTTTTTGAGGAGTATACAGCAATAGTTCCTAATCTTTACTGAAGGAATAACTGCCAATTTTACATAGTGCAAGTTACATGCACCTAAGAGAGACTAAGGTTTCCTTTAGTTCAGCTATATTTTTTGCAGCTTAACCATTTATTCTGGCTCTGTTATCCCATCAGACAACACTCTGTTCATTTTTTCCTTTGTTGTTGGTAGCACCACTTCCATTATCCCCTGCAGTTAGGGCAGGGCTGTATTCCAGCTGACTGCTGCTCCGCCTCATCTCTCTTCCAGTTCCACTTCCAGTTTTGATCTTGAACAAGAAATAAATCATGAAGCCCACCCCCAGTAAAATTATGAGGATCAGAGTAAGTAGTATCCATATATTCAGGTGAACACTGGCTTTGTCCTTTTTGGCATCTGTAAATAAATAAAAAGTAATAGAAATGAATGGACTGTAGCCATAAACAAATATAAGATTATTGAAAACTATCATTTCTTCCTTAATTACCACATGGAAAATCTATTATAATGTCTCTGTGTCAGTCTTTCTCATAGATATTACCAAAAGAGGATCTTACAAAAGGAGAATCAGAGAGGGAGTGATCAATTTACCAAATCATTTGATTATCTTGGGGTTCCTTAAGGGTCTTACACATACTGATAAATGAGGCTGGGAACAAATTCAATACAAATTAAGTAAATTAAGCTCATATTAATATATATATATATTCTAAATAAATAATATTAAATTTAAGTATGTATCTTTGAAATTAATTGGAAGGGGGAAAAAAATCCTACCTTCCACATCTCCAGCTGCTTTAAGAGTAGCTGTCAAAGATAAAGACAAATGTTTAGTCAAAATCTAAAAAGGTCACATTTTCTTCCTGATACTTTCATGTCAGCAAAAGGTCTGGTAACCTGCACATCATCATCACTTCTGGAAACACATCTGCTAAATTAGAAGAGCTGAAAAGGCATGAAGGATTTTTAACCCCATATTCCCTTCAAGGAAACAGTGTTTTACATATTAAATCCCCCTTCTTGCTTCTTTTGTAAAAACCAGAACATCTCCAAGCTAAGTGGTAATAGTTCCTGACTGTTTTGAGAGGACTCTTCTCCCCGATTAATTAACCTTGCCCTTTCCACGAGGTCTGTTTCTTGTGGACACTGGCAAAACTTGATCGACTGCTGAGAACAGCTGAGCTTTCCTGTATCACACACACACAACTCGTTTGAGACCCAGCAGCTCTCAATTTACCATCATATATTTGCACCTATAATCACACGTATAAACCCAAGCTTTCTTGCGCAGCTTTTCCCGGCTGTGCACAGAGGGCGCCGTCTGCAAGGCTTTTCCCGGCCGGGAGCGGCCGGGGTCCCCGCGGGCAGCGTGGGATGCGCCGGGAGCCGGGCTGCTGCAGCAGAACCAGAGCCATGCATTGGGCTCTGGTGTGTTTGCAGAGGGAGAAGCAGCTGTGAAATTTGCCTCTCTCTTTGGCAGTCATGGAATAAACACCCGGCTGTGCCGAAACGCCGTTCTGCTGGGGAAGCCGGTGTCGGGGAATAAATACCGGCCGAACTCCGGCATTGCGCATCAGGGCCGCTCACAGGCAAACCCATCCCATGAAGTGTGTGGTGATAGTGAGTTTCGGCTTTCTGACGTCTGGTAGCAGAGCACTATCATTCAGTAGTGTCTGTTGCCTGCAAGGAAAACTAGGTGTTGTCCTAACAGCAGAATTTTTCTTTCTAGAACACACCCTGAACAATGCTGTGACTGCTGCTTCCCCCACCAGCTTCAGGTTTGCTTTGGTGGGGGAAAGGACTGAACCTCAGAAACATCCTGGGGTTGTGAAACAGGGCAGGAAATTGGACTTTTTTGCAGAATTAACAGTTAAACTCCAAAATACCACATGCTTGCTTGGCTCACAATATTCTGATATTTCTGCTTCCTGACTAAAGCAGATGGTGCTCAGTTATACAGAAAAAAAAAAAAAAAAAAAAAAAAAAAAAAAAAAAAAAAAAAAAAAAAAAAAAAAAAGCTAACCAAAACACTTCTACTCTTTTCAAAGGTCACTATATGCTTTCTGGATTGCACTTCCGCTCCTATTTAAATAGAATTGCTTCATCCATCTCTTGCTGGAACAGCATGTATCATAGTACAGCAAGAGGAAGAATAGCAAATTATTGATGCCTCTCTTGTTCCATAGAAAGAAAATAGGAATGTCAGTAGAAAATAAATGTGTTTATGTTGGAGTGGAACAAAAAAATAAAGAAATTTTGGGGTTTTTTTCAGGAAATACTTACGTAAGAAAATATAGTGTAAGAAAATCACAGGTTATGAAGCAAGAAATCATAAACAGGGCAAACAAAAAAAAAATGCATTTGTATTATTTTTGTCTGAACATTGAAACATTTGTGTCAGTCCTTTGCAACTCTCATATTGTGCTATTGCTACTGAAATAAAACCAGAAAAGGAAAGAGTGAATATGAAAGAAGTCACTTACTCTTTGGTTTCTTACAAATAAAGCCCTTTTGGGAAGAGCAGGGCAGGACACTCCAGCAGCCGGTGGCCGCAGACAGCTCCACGCAGAAACTCAGCTCGTCCCCCGAGGGCTGCCCCTCAGCCCAGTTGACAAAGTCTAAGGCACTGTTGTCTTGCCAAAGCAGCTGCCCTGATGTGGCAAATGTTAGCATCAATACTAATAGATCCATGGGAAAGTTCTTCACCTTAGTGCATATTGACATAATATTGCTTTCTTCAACCTATAAAGCAATACTTCCTTCAGAAATTCCATCTGTGGTTGTTCTTGATGCATTTTATGTCATTTGATTCTTGTCAAAAAACAATTGAATTGCTTTCCCAAATTATGATTTGCAGATTTATCAGTCATAATAATATCACCGTTTTAATTTATATTTCTTTGTATGTTTGCCTAGGATATTAAAATTTCAAACTGAAAAAAAGGAAATTTAGAATTTTTATAAAAAATTATTATTTCATCAGCACTTAATGAAAATCAAGCAGCTTTTACTGTAGTGCTGTCATACATTTAGTTAAAATTAAATTTTTTTTTATAAACTCTAAAAAGACTTTTGATGTTTCAGTAGGCTGAAAATAATCTAAAATAAAACCTTTTCTAACTACCTGTAGTCTGATATCAGTGTTCTCTTCCAGATGCATGTTTTCTACTGCATGCTTTAGCAAGCAGCCTAATTTTCTCCACAGAGTCAGAGAGGAACTCTATGCCATGGGCTAGGGCTGGACTCCCACAAGTCCCACATGAGTCTTCCCCAGCCAAAAGAAGATGAGAGCCAGTCAGGAGTTTTTTCCCCAACAGGAAAAGCTTTCTCAGAGACCAGGAATATGACACAACCTCTGAGAGGACTCAGGTCTGAACTCCAACTGTACTTCAATTTGTTGCTTAAAATCTATTAATTTTATTAATATTTTTGTCCATTTAATGAAGTCTGGTTATGATTATTTATAGAATTTTAAATAGTTACCATTTACATTTCTGTATATTCCTATCCAGAAGCCACTTGTCTTGCTTGCATATAAATCTGCATGTTCTATTAAAAAGTTTGATTCATACAGATCTTCTACAGAAGTCAACATACCACCTATAAAAAAAAAAGGAAGATGATTGGAGATATCCCCAACATAGTTACAGCTTTTGAGACAGGTTAAGGTTAATAAAAAATCCTGTCCCACTGATAGAGAGTAAAGAAGGATTTAAATATAATCCACAGGGTAGTGTCCAGCTGCAGGGGAACAGCACAGACAGTGAGAGATCTGAAGTGAAAGACACAAAAGCACAGAGAAGATTATGACTTTTAAACACCAGGCAAGGTGCACTGTGTTTCCAAGTGACTGGATGTTATTGTTCATAGAAATTATCAGTGATTATTTATTTGTTCTTCATGGTTTGACAGAATAATATGTAGCATGAAATACTGCAAAACAAACCAATCTGCAGTTCAGACCACTGTATTCACTTTTGTGGCAGTGGTGGTAAGAGGGGTAAGAGGATCTAAAAAGGTATGAAACAAAGGATCCATTTATTTTCTCTTTCCTGGCCTCCTGAGACATGGATGAGAGCTGATGACTCAGCAGCAAAGGTGAAAGAGTGCCAAGGTACTGCTCCTGGTCCTGGCCAGGAACAGATGTCTCCAAGGAGAAGGAGGGAAGCATTTTCCCTCCCCGGGCTCTGCAGCCTGCCAGGGAACCTTGCTGATAGAGCAGGGGCTACCAGGCAGCACATGCAGCCCCTTTTGGATCACACAGACAGTGTTAAAAATGAGTGGTTGTTATTATGATATTTACTTTGCTTATTGTGTAGGGAAAGACATGGAAAAGAAGGGATAAGGCCAGAAAGAAGTGAATTTTTTCAAATCACGTAAAATTTAAGATCTGACTAAAAACAGAGATTTTATGAATGAAGAACAAGAAACATGCACAGCTGGAAAAATAGAACAAGAAAATCACCTTAAAATCAACATAACTGAAAAGCACATAACAGTAAAAAATAAATGAGAAATTCCTTATTTTTAATATTTGCAGATTTTGCATTATTACTTTTCAAAATTTCTTTCAAGACTTCTTTTTAATGTCAAGATTGAAGTTCTATATTTGGGTAAAAATATTAATTACCTGATCGAATGCACTGAGTCACAGACTGAGCCCAGGTAATTTCATTGGCATTGAAGTTATAGCAGTGGCTTCGGAAAGGAATCCAAGATATGTGATCAGATTCAGGACATTGTCCAATATCCTGAGGGGGATCAGAAGGAAGTATGTCTAGAAGAAATTAGATATTATAAATGCTTTCATTCAGTAAGGATTGCAGTTCTTCATATATGAAATCAAACATTAAAACTTTTTCTTAAAAGTGTTTAAAGTGTTCTTTGGCACACAGTGCTAGAATTATCAGTATCTAAGTCAAGAGTGACAACAAGGATCAGAACTGGTCAGCTGTGAGAGGATGACTCAGTGTGAATCTGTGCTCTTCTGTGTTACTATCTAAATCAAACTTGGACTGTTTCAAGGATATTTGAGTGTTCCAGAATTTCGGTTCTAGTTTGTTTTGTTATAGTAAATAAATTTATATAAATAAAAGAAGCACTTAAAAAGCAGAAAAAAACACCCCTAGAAAACTCCCAAACTCTCAGAAAGTTCAAATAAGTTTTATTTTAAACGAAATAGCATATAAATTTCCCATTTAATATTTTCCTCAAGATAACAATCCTTACATAGAATTTCTGAACATCTTTATATCTGACATAGCATAGAGTAATCTGAGGCTCATTGATAATTTATGTAGTAACTCCTTATTTTCCTACAAGCAGTGACATTATGAAAAGGCAACATTGTCACTTAGTACTTGTGGTTTTAAAACAAAAGTTGCAAATTAGCAGCTATGAAGTTCAGAGAATGGCCCAGAAAAGAAATTAAAAAACTACCAACCAATTAAAAAACCCACAAAATGCCCAATCTAATCCAAAACAAAAACAAACCCAAAAGTCCCCAAATAAAGTCTGAGTTTCCATTAAGTGTGCGTCACTAGAGCTAACAGATGTCATTCAAATGAGAAAGCAAAAAACCCAGTCCCATCCTGAGGTTTGCCTGTACTTTTACTGTGTAGTATTCCTTAGTGCTACCCATACAAACCCTATGAAGTATGAACTTTTTGGGGGCTAAAAACAGACCCTTTTCATCAGATACAACTCTTTCTCCTATATCCAGTTTTTGTAATCTAATATCAATAAAGCAACAACCAGTGTAAGAATGATGTGTTTATGCTGGAGAAATGAAATTTATTTTATACTCAGTGGAATTCATTGATTACAGACCTCCCCATAAAACCTCTGTCAGGTTTATGGGAATAGTTCACACTCTAGACTCAGTGCCTGATGTTCCCACAACCTCTGTGATCTGTCTGCCTGCTCCCATGGCAGCTATCATTCCAGTCCAGTAAAATGGCAAGATCTTGGCTGGTGAATGCCAACTCCATCAAAATAAAACATTGTCATGCAAAATACAGGTACTGACATTACATACTCAGCTTTATTATTATTTGATATATACTTAAAAATTTGTAATTCAGGCAAAGCAGATTAAGCAAGGTTTCTGCCATAACAACAAAAGTCATTGCCATTGCTTACCCTCAGATTTTTTGCAGACAGGAAAATATTTCTCATTACAATGTGCTGTTTTCCATCTCCCAGAGAGTGCTAGATAGACACAGGCTAGTTTCTGTTTTGGCTCTTCATAGTCCCACTTAGAAAAACTTACTTTCCTTTTATTGGTCCATCTATAATATCCATAATTCTAAAATTGAAACAGACATTTGACATAACTTTTCTAGACTCTCATCTGCTGTTTTAGCTAAATGAGTCATACAGAAGCACATTTTCAAAGTGATACAGGCAGCTCAGTTTGTGTATCTGTGCTAGCACTGTTAAAATACTGGCTGAATCAGGACTCAGCAACATAAAAACTGGACACAGCAGTATGGCTCCCATGCTGGAACAGCCCATGGAGGTGTTTTGAAGGCTAAATAATGCTCCCTGGGGACTCAGTCCCTTGTCAGACAATGTTGTAATGTGGAATCACCATCCCAGAAGAGTCAGATCTCCATGAAAAGCAGCAAGACTTTAAGAACATGAAACCTGTGGAAAGCTCAGGTGGAAATGGGCCTCAGATCTGGCTATTAAGCAAGGACTCTAAGCTCCAGCAGTTTTCAGGAGAAACATTCAGGAGCAAACTGCAGCCATCACTATGAAGAACCAGAGAACATGATTACTTTGTAAGAAGCAAAAAAGAAATATGTTGAACAGGACTTCTTGAGTCTTTGTTTAGTTCTTCCTCCTCCCCTTTTTTCTTTTCCAGGAAGAATCAGAAGAATTACAAGAAAAAGCGAAAAGACACTGACAATTTATTGCTGCCATTAAGAAGAGGGGGATAAGATGTGATCTCACTCCAGTGTCTAGCTGTGTCAAGAGAGACTCCAGATGCACAAGGTCACACTGAGCTTGACATCAACAGGGCAAGGTCACTCACTGCCTGGGGAACAGGAGGATCCACAAAGCTTGACTCGGCACGATCAAGGATGGTTTGTTTATAAGTACCAAGGGGATGTCTGGTGATTCAAGCTTGATCAAAATGGAATTTTAGCTGCTTTTTAAATCATATTGCTTTGACTAAAAACAACCAACTTTGGTATGAAGCAGACTCAAACACTATTATTTTGGTTTGGGTAGGGGTGCCCTGTGCACTTGTGCAAGTGGAAGGATGTATTTTAAGGTTGGTGACTACCCATCACTTATGTGATAATTTTTTCTGGTGGAGGTGGGGATAACATTGTTAGAATAGTGGAAATATTTATTGTTCATCTTTTCAGACAAATTTTCAGCCTTCTGAGGGCTTTATCAGATTGTTGCTGCATCATATAAGTGGAACTTCTATTTTTACACAATATTTATTACAAGTGTCCCTAGGGATACTGTATTTCAGACATGTTTTGCTATGTTATATATCAGTGTCGATCACAATTAGTAAAAACAATGAATAGTTAAGATGATTATTACTGATGAAAAAGCTAATTTTTATTATCAAAGTGGTTTAGTCAGATCAAAGAACAATGAAACAGAAATATGATAATTAAGTGCATTTAGCAACTGCATATTCAGTGGGGAAGCTGAAGCTCAATTTGTCATTCAGTCACAGAGCTAATAATGCTGATTATCACTCGACTGTTCCTTTACAAATTGGTGGACCTGGATCTCAGTATTCACTACATCTGCTACAGTATAGCTTTTACTGATTTTAACTTTTGGGATCTAGCAGGTATAACAAAGAATATGTGTTCAAAAGAGTGTGGTGGCTTGGCCTATGAAACCTTCTGAAACAAAAGATAATGGAAAAGCTACAATTGCCAATGGTCATGAGGCACTAGCCCTCCTGAACATCTTGGAGCCTTTTAGTAGGGGTCACCTGTCCTAAAGATGGCCATCTGAAAGTTTACCAGGTACTTTTACCTAAGTTTTCATGATTCATACAGCACTAGTAAAGAGAGTCCAGCAGGGCCAAACGTTCTTATCCTTCTCTAATGCCTAAAATGGCATTTAATGATTTAAGATCAATTAAGTCAAAATATGTGAGACCGTTCACCAGTCCTAGGTTTCTAAATCTGTTCATGCTACAATTCTCCTGCTAATAGTAGCAGCATTTAACTTTACCAACTATTATTTTTTTAATCTTACCACATTGCTGTTGAGCCCAATCCATAAGGGCTCTCCATACTGTGCTGCCTGCAGGAGCAAGAATATATTACTGTAATAATCAAAAATGCTGGCAAGCTCTGAAGATTTCTCCTTGCATGCTTTTCTTGCTTCTTCCCAATTCATTTTAGAAGGAATGATTAAATAGCTGCTGTTGCCATAATGGACAAAATCAAAATCTGGAGCACTTGTGGGGTGAAACAGTTCAGGCTCTGTAGGAAAGAGGTACACATTTGAAAGGAAGAGGAGAAAACAGTGAAAAACTACTAGCTGCTGGATAAGAGTATTGCTTTTGAATAACAGATGAATATAACATGGCAGCACAAGCATTAAGTAATAGCATTTTTTACATAAAAACAAAGAGATTTATTTTAATGGCAATTTGGAATTATTTTAAACTATGGTGTAAAAAAATATTTAGGGATTAAAGAGAGGCAGAGCATGAGCTGTGTGTATCTGTAGACATAGACTGTCCAGATGAAATTATGTCAGTACTGGTTCCACCATGATCCTCCCCCCAGAGCTCTCTGTGTCCCCCTGCCACAGTGCAGGTGAAGTTTTTCCCAGGCATGAGCACACGACAGGATCTTCTTCACACCATTTCAGTCTCAAAATAATTTCTTTCTAAGCAAATTTTGTGACCATGCTGCTACATCTTTTCCTCATAGGATGAAGTGAAAAAGAAAACTGTATTTGTACCTATAATTATGTATGCAGAAGTAGAAAGCAAGGGCCTAGTGATGGGGACAGAAGAAAAGACAAACTTTTTGTTCATTCACTGTTGAGGATGCTCTGTCAATTGTTTTTGCTAGTGCCATCCTCATGCAGCTTTCTGCACTCACATGGGTCAGAGCTGTGAATCATCTGACCCAGCTGTGGTTTCTTCCTCTATTTTGAGTTGCTGCTCAGCAGTTCCTTGTTTTTGTTCCTGCAGACTCTGCAGTGTAGCCGTGCTCCGGATGTGTCTCCCACCCTAAGGCTCCATGAAGAACACTGGAGCTTTTGCCCTTCTGAGTATTGCTGTTCTTGAGATATGAAGGCCTCTCTAGGGACTGATGAGCAAACTAATCCGTTTAACTGGCCTCAGTTGACCCCTAGTTGGAGGTCACCAAGGGATTTGTCTTTTTGTATTGTATTTGCAAAATAACTGCATTCAGGCACCTATATCTGTGGTAGTTGGGTAAAGCACAGATGGATATAATAGAGAAAAACTGACATTTTGAAGGCAGACACCTTCTAGGAACCTGGTTTGGACATTTTTCTTATGATTAAGAAGGTGAATCCTGTTCTTCAAAGTGTCTATATGCCAGGGAGCTGATTTCAGTGTGGATGTCTGCAGGGTAGGCGAGGTCATCTTCTCTGATTTGTAATGGTCAGATTGTTCAGTAAATGTTTTACAATCAAAAAAAAAGGTGAAAAATAAAACTTACCGCTCTCCATCTGGCAAATATAGCTTTTTTTATGCTGGCAGTCAGTATTTTCCCATAATCCTGCATCATCTACAGATCTTTTTGTCATTGTAATACAATCAGTCTAGGGAAAAAATGAAAAATAGACTTGTTGCTGATAAAGTGCAAAATTTCCAGCAAAATAATAGAAATAGGTGTGAGGAGAAAAAATGAATAGCCTTCCTTTCTAATTTTCTGGCTCTTTTCATGTATTGCTTGTTGGAAATTAAATGTGTTCTATTGTATGTCTTAAGCAAATGTACTTTTATTGGCAAATTGATGCAAGAGCTTTTGTCAGTTAATTAAAATTCCTCAGAATGCATTGAAGTTATTTTTACTATGGAGTTAATGGTAGTCTGTACTGAATTTGTTGGAGTTTCATTTGCATTATACAAGGAAAAACAATAAACTAGAATAAAAATCACAACTAGTAACACTGAATATTTTCACTAAAATATAATAATTATAAAAAGTGTAATTAATTCAAGCAGAAAAGATTCCTTTTCTGCATTTCTAGACTTTGACAAAGGAATGAGAGTAAGCCTAGATTCTAAGCAGGCCTATTAATTTCTGATTAAAGCTTTAAAAATTTGATCTTTGAAGTTTCAGTTCACTTGTGCTTTAAGTTATAAAGTTCAGATCTTAGCTGAGACAGAAGTCAGGCTGGTTATTCAAACATTTAGTATGTCATTTATGTTATGCACTTTCTGATTTATTTCTTTTCACCTCTATTGTAATATACTTCCAGTCAACCACTGTGAATTTATCTCTGAATGGGAATCCTCGGGCCCAATTTGAATAGTCAAAAATGCTTCCATCTGTCCAAAGATAGGTTTGCTCACTGTTGATGTCATTCAGCCCAATCCATGTTTCATTGGCAACATCCTTTAGGTGGAAGGTGAGGAAAGCTGAGAGAAAATATATTTAAAAAATAAAATAAAATAAAAAGTACCTGAGGAGTTTCCTTTCTTCAAATTCCATGTAAATGAAATTACAAATAAAACAACAATCAATCATCTTCTAAATCTATTGGAAATACCAACCTCAGTATTATTAGGCTGGGAGTGAAAGGTAAAAGAAAAAATTACAATGGGTAATCAAAGTGAAGCAGTTTGAATTCAGGGTAAAAAAAGGAGGGGAGGGAAACAAGGAAAACATTTTTTGATTAAAATTATTTAGGCTTCTTGGAAATATTATAGAAATTCGGGCCAGAAATTACTTCAAAAGGATTGTCTTTCCCAAGATAACATCAGCTTCAGATATGTAATTTCCGATGGATGTCTGTTTAATGTCTAGCTTGAATATCTCTGAGCATTTCATGACTATAAACGATTACAATTTATCCCATCTCCCGAGACCATGGGGAACAGATTATTCTATTCCTTCCACAGGTGATGCTTGCTAAAACTGGGAAAGTGTCAGAATATCTCACTGCAGTCCTCCCTCTGGATCAAGCACCTCCAGGTCTTCCTTATTTAGGTTATTTAGGTCTGGAGGTAGGTTCAGCCTCATCATTAGATGGTGAAATATGTGGTTTCATACATAGTGCTGTAAGGCTCAGGCGTCATACCTTGCACTTGATTGTTGTGTATAGAGGCCAAATTTCCCCCTAATTCTCTACAAACACTTCTTGCTGAGTGCCAAGTTAGTTTCTCTTCTTCTCTGGATCCAAATATTTTATAGCACTGTGGAGAGAGAAAAGGATTAGACAGACTTCTGGGTGCCAAAGAATTTTAAAACCATTGGTTTGTATTAATTCTGTGCTAGTTCCTGCATGCAAAGAGCTGCAGATGGGGGATCTGCTGGAGCACAAATCCTGTCAGCCAGCAAGGAGACCTAGCCAATCCCTGTGATATGTGCAGAGCACTTACAATCGTGTGGGGTCACTGCTGGGAAAGAGCAGACAACCACCAAAAGCTTTTGAGGAATTAAATTACTGAAAAGTAGAATTTTTGAGGGACTGGAACTATTTCCTGACTGTGAGCCTAATTTGGAGCAGGTAATAATTTCTCAGGTCAAGTTTTTTTTTCAATTTTATACCACAGATGGAGTGCTAAAACTTCAGCTCATGTGAGAACTCACACAAGTGTCAGGAAGAAGTGCTCCTCTGAATGGGTATTTTCCCTGCATCCCAGTGTAAAACATTTTTTGTGTATCATCTGAGGGACAGAAGATATGGCTCCTCCTTTGAATGCATAAAACCTTTCCTATTGATTGCATTGTGGAATTGATTTTTGGTTTTTCTCTGTTGTTTGTTTTTGGGGTTTTTTAAAAGTTCATATGTCCAGATTTTTTTGCTTAACTTAGCAGAAAGCAATGCTTGATATTGTCAAATATTTGATTTGACATTTATTGCTGTTTGTGTTACTCAGCTTAAGATGAGTTGCTGTGATGGCCAATTACTTATGAAAAGTTTGACCTTTCAATTTTTCATCTTTGTTACTCAGAAAAACAGTGTTACATTTACAGATAAGGATAATGGATCAGGATTTCCATGCTCTATGTCTAAAATAAGCAGAAGTATTGAGAAAGTAGAAAAGTAGCTATGGCTAAAGGCACACAGACATTTACAAAAATTATAATTCCAAACATTCAAATCACCTTTTTTTTATATTTAGTTACAAATTTTCCAACCTGAAGATGCACTGCACTGCTAATTAGCATACTTGTTAGTAAGTTGGTGTTTAAAGAGAGAGAATTTCTTTAATGAGATAAAAGGGATAGTTGCTTTCTTCACCTAGAGCAAATCTCCTAAATATGGCTGGGATTTATTGCTGTACCTTATTGTTGAACAAAAGCCAAGTTTCAGGACATCCTCCCAGAGGTGGAAGCACAGTAGGAGCAAATCCTGAGTAAGTTGAATTGTGCCTTTCACAGATAAAGGCGTTTTTCACAGCACAGTTTATGTCTTTCCATAAACCTGTAAAGAAATGGAATACAGATAATAGTTTAGATATTACAGAATACAGACAAACTCCTGTACAACCACTACAGCAGTCAGGCTCAGATGGCATTCATAAAGCACAAATGAAACACATTTACCCCAATACACTCCTCCTTCCTCTGCAATGTTTCTTTTCTAAGTGTTGACAGTTTGTAGTGAGTGTGTTATGAAAAGATGTCAGTATTGTTGAACTACCCCTCTGTAGGGTAGCCCCAAATTTAAGTATGTACCAAACATTTTGGATTTTGATGCTAAATTTTACCCAAATATTTCTTGTTTCTATTTTACTCACCAAAATCTTCTGACATTATCACACAGTTTTCATCATTATTTGCAAAATTGGGTTCATTTGGAGCCCAGGCAACATAGTTCACTGGGCTGTCATCCAGCCATCTGGAAGAAACAAGGGGACAGTGGCTGCCAGCAGAGATCTCAGCAGGCATTCATTACTCACAAGGCTTTTGGGCAGGGGGCTAAACAAGGTATCAGCAGTGACCAGAGGGCAAAGACTCTACATATCCTGGAGAGGACATAGCTACAGCACTTCTGCTGCTTCTCCTCTGCTTAGTACTACCACATTCAAGGCATGGATGGACATCCTTCACATCCCAGAAAAGTGTCCTCCTGAAAGGCTTCTACAAATGGATTGTTAAAACAGGTTTCCTGCCAGAAATTTCAGAAAGATGTTGGGGTAGATGCTGCTTATGCTTCTAGCTTGGAGCTCATATAACTTGAACCACTTGGAATTAATTTTATTTAACCCTTACATATATATTTTATCAAAACTTCCCAGGCTTTCTCTGTAGTCATTGGAGATCTAGTCAGGGTCAATCTCATCCTTAGCAGATGAGGGATCAAGAGCAGATCAGGTAAATAACATCTTAAAATTACCTGTTTCTCCTCACTACTTATGCAGGGTTGCAGCTCTCGCAGTGTAAGGCATTAAGTAAGCTGCATCTTAGCCATGAATTTTTATTGTGTTTGCTCTCCCAAATTTGGAAGGAAAATGCATTTCTCTGCTTAAATATAGAAGAATGTAGTACTTTGGGTCTGAGACATTTCCTGAAAACTATCCAGAAGTCAGTTGTACAACATTTTTTAACTTGTAAGATGAAAACACGAAGAAATGCTCTCTGAGATGAAATTACCATCATTTGTTGTGCATTACCAGTTTTTCTTTACTCACCTGAATCTCTGATCAAAGCTGACAACTAAGCCGATGAAATATGATTTTCCTCTGTGTTTTGTGTAAATCTAAAATAGAAGTAATTAATAGTTAAGCACTAATTTGCTTTT